CATTTTTGGCCCTAATTTATAGGGGTCATTCCAATTTTAGTCCACTATTGTTTGTCTTGATATGATATTTATAAATACTTTTTATTTTTAGTTAAATCAATTTTAAGTTTTCATTATACTTGAATTACAAAATATATTTTATACAAATTAATTAATCAAATTAAACCATTTACATTGACTAGATAATTAATAAAAAGTAAACTATCTTTTAAAATATATATTTTATAATTGAATCACAAAATATATTTTGTTTAAATGAATTAATCAAGTTAAATAATTTTTATCATACATAGCTTATTATAAAGCTCACAATATAACACATGTTATAAATATTAGTAAATTACTCAAATATAAATGAAGTTCAAAAATTTGATATAAATCACAAATCATCTATATTATAAATCTAGCTATAATTAAAAAAAAATCTCAAAATTACAAATCAAAAATACAATTAGAATTAAATATAAATCTTACAATAGAGATGTGTTTATGAAATTTCGAGCTCTTGGCTTCTGAGATAATAATTATGCAGCCTGTCATCAACAAATAGCACATTTTATGTGGTGAGACTGAGTCTTAGGCAAAATACCATAAAGTTAACATATACTATATGAGTATATGTGCTCACAATTCAATTCAATTAATGATGGATACAAATTGGTACGTGCATGCATGCATGATTATTTGAGCTTGACGGTTCTCTTCCAGCATTAAATTAAGGGCGACAATGAACCATAAGTTAAAAGATATTTGTGAGACGTCAAAGTCACTATAAGCACACTATACCCTTAACCACTAGTATAGGTTACGTTGCTACAAAACCTATGAATGTACATATGGCCCTCAATTATTCACCCTATTTTTATTTTCATCTTTATTTGATACTTCTTACACCCTACGGGGAACCTGTGATCTATCTCATAAAAGACAGTGTGACATCCCTAGCTAATCTTACGTTACAATTCCCATTTTTGTCGCGTGAACTGCATAGCTTTTATCCTACTATACGTACACATATAGGTAAATAATAAGAGTATATATTATTAGTTTTGTATGTAAATTCAATGCATCATCATTTATTTATTTATTTTTTATAAAATCGCATTAATTTTGTATAAGAACACATCATTTGAGATTAAATGGCATTAAGTTTACTCCCCCTAGCTAGAGTCAGGGGAGAAATAATTAATCGCGTGTCGCGTAGTCAGCTAGTTTATCGGTCAGATTCTGACCTTAATCTTTATTTGCATGCAAGAGATTCAATTTACACCTTTCATATACGGAACTTTTTTCTCCATTCATATTTTTAGGGCAAATTATATCATGGACCAGGGTCGACCTTGCATTGTAGACCCTGGTCCAAATATAACATCAGATTCTATATCTATAGTTGTCACATTCTGTACTTGCAGTTAATAGTTTCTCTACTTGTAGCTATCATATTATGTGTCAGCAATTATCGGTATCTATAGTTGACATATTCTGTACCTGCAGATGTACAGAAACGATTAACTGTAGGTACAAATTTTTTGTATCAGGGTTCACAATGCAATATGAACCATGGTCCATGGTATAACAATTTATAGTGGGATTCAAACCCTCACACTGTTACCACCTTCCGTCGTAATATCAAGTTAGACGACGAACCACTACACTAAGCCCTGGGGGCAAACATATAGTTTTTAGATTATGAAATCTAGACACATCGTATTGTGATAAATATGCAATGTTTATTCATTCAAACTTTTACTTATTTATATAATCGTCAAAGCTTTTTTTTTTTTTTTTTTTTTATTGAAAAAAGAAACATAAATCAAATGCATGCTTACCGGCCATTATACTAAAAATTATAACTAGTAACAAATATATTAATTTATTTTCTTACACTTGCATAACATTCAACATCACATTTTAATAACAAGACATTAGACTCAATTCACCGTTCCAACATAAATTATATATACTTAGACACGTGAACTGGATATGTATAAGTATAGGTATAGGTTTCCTTTTAAGTGGATGGCAAGATGGAAGTATCCAGCTCTGTCCTCCTATCCACTATTCTTCAGAAACAGCAAGCTAAGGTTCCTATGGTGAGACGACGACAACATGTGATGTCCACCAACTTGCCCTCTTTTCTCTTCAAACATCAAAAAGAAACAAAATTTATATTAGTTTATAACAATAATTCTCCCAATATAATAATTACGAAAAGAAATAAGCCAAGTTGCAGAGCAGAATACATCTGTTGTAAAAGGATATATAACCCTACATGTCCCTTGCCAATGAACCTACCACGCACATTAATTTGACCAACTTTCTATGTTACGTTTTTCATTAATTCTTCAAATTTACCACTTGGATTCCATACCTTTGCATTCCCATAACTCAATATCATTAGTACATTATATATATTATTAGATAACTTAATTGGTAAGGGATTTGAGATTTTATTTACAATAAATCATACATTATAAATAATAAGTCAACAATAAAAATACACGAGTTAATTAAGCAAACGCTTCCCAAACAGGCAATGTAAAAAGATGTAATGGATAAAATCGTGTAGAAGTTGTGAGCAAAGAGGCCTTAGCTTACATGGTTGTGTTGCCTTGGCTCACTTTTTTTATTCGCCATTGTGCTAGAATAAATCTACCATGAAGTGATGTGAAACAAAATATACATAGAGTTTATATGTAAGTTCATCTTTAATATTTTTAAATTATAATTTTAATAAATTTATTAATATATTTATTACAAAATAAAATATTTTTATGATGACAAATAAAATTACTATAAGTATCATATTATAGTATAAGTATATTAGTTATTTTTTCCTTTCTAAAAAAAATATTAATTATTTTTAGTTAGAATTTAGAAATTGAGGTATAAATTGATTGAATGATATATAATTAAGTTTATATTTATTAGTGTACATACATTGTTTTATTAAAATTGAAAGTTAAAAATCAATTAGCCTAAATCGATTAGTTCAATAGGGTCGGCCCAATTTACATCCCTAACCTTAAGACCCTCACATCTTGACTTGACATAATAACGGAGGGTAAATCACGGTGACTTAGCAACCCATTAGGTGGGAGGATCTTTGATTTTATCTTCTCATCCTTATATAGCTAATTAAGCGCTCCCCTCATTTGATTTGATAAATTTTAAACTCCAACCTGATGGTAAACAAATGTTAAAGTTTACACACACATAGAGGTTATATAATCCGGTTCATACTCTAAGTGAGAACTGTGGACAAAATTCAAACTATTGATTTGCTTATTTGCAAGATCTGATGGATAGAAACTCAAGTAAAAGAGAGCGGGGTCATTTGAATTTTCATTTTTTTTTTCTTTACTTTCAATGTTAAATCTACTAGATCAATGATTCCGATTTGTCCATAGCTTCTCACCTGGAGCATGGGTTATATATATATAGAATAAAGTTCAAATGCGGCGGGGTCTTCCCGTGCGGCGGAATTCCAGAATATACCAACAGTGTAATAAAAACACACCACAATGAAATGCAATAAAACATCACAACATACACAACAGACTCAAAAAAAATACACCATATAACTCACCACCCCTAATGGTGTATTTCCGAACAGTGTATGGTGTTTTTAGTCACACCTAATGGTGTGTGTTTGGTGATGCAGTGCTCTGTTTACTCTGTTTTGTGTGGTGTATTTTCTTAACGTTGATGGTGCATATTTGTTGAACTATTGGTGTTGCCGCACCGTAACACACTGCCGCACCTGAACTCGCATATATATATATATATATATATATATATATATATATATATATATATATATATATATAGACTTGCACTCGGGTGCGAACGGCTCGCCCAGACGCGAAATAGGAATGGATTCTGTTCGTCCAGGTGTCCAGATCTAATGGATGAGAAACACTGATTTTTTTTTAAAATGCGGTGGCATTTTCGTAAATAATTGAACATCGAAGTGCAAGTAAAATGTATTACAAGTGCATGTAAAATGTATTATAGGTGCAAGTAAAAATTTACACTGAGCATCAATACTTAGTTGCACTTATAGTTCTAAGTAGTTGCACTTGTAGTTCTAAGTAGTTGCACACATAGGTATAAGTAGTTGCATCTAGGTGTATGAATGTTTGCGAGTGGTTTTCAGGAGTATTACTACCCGCTGAACTCAGATCAATGAATGTTAACAAGGCAAAATTACATGTACTTATAGGTGAAAGTAGGTGCACCTATAGTTATAAGTAGTTGCACCTATAGTTATAAATAGTTGCACATATAGTTATAAGCACACCCAGGTGCATGAATGGTTGCGGAAAGTGAATGCTAACAAGGCAAAATTACATGCACTTGTAGGTGAAAATAGGTGCACTTATAAGATATTTTACTTGCACTTCGATGTTCAATTATTTACGAAAATGCCACCGCATTTTTTTTTAAGTTATTAGATCTGGACACGTGTCGCGCGCTGATTCGTTCGCATTTCTTGGGCACTTATTCACACCTGAGTGCGTCCCTCTATATATATATATATATAATCAGCTAGGTTAGTTGGAGCTTGATGCTTGAAATTCCGATCCTTTAGGCTTCCTCTTCTTCCCTACCAAGAACGCTTATATCATATAAGCAGGAGAAGAAATCAAATTACCTTGCCATTTAAAATTTTTTACTGACTAATTTTCACCCGAACTTAATAAAATATTAACAAAAATGAAAATCGCCACGTTAAGAATAACTGAGCGATAAAAATATAAATATGTGAGTGATTGAATCTACACTTGAGGTATAATTGAATGACCAAATATTCCATTGTTCCTTTTTTTTTTCTTCCTTCTTCTTCTTAGCTTCTATATACCTAAAAAGGTTAAATACATACAGAAAATTAATATTGCTAATTCTTGCAATATAATATAATGTAATCACTGTTGAATATAATGGACGAAAGAAATTGGAGTAAAAATTTCAATTTTTTGTGGTGCATAAGTATTAGAGATCATATATATCAAACATATCATTAATTAAAACCTAATAGAGAAAGGCAATGGCTTTCTGTTGGAAACCCCTCAAGCCACATGAACAATCTAGCACATTCAAATACACAATATTTATGGCTACAATGACATGTGATCATGTACCACCTTTTCGGCTCCCAACTACATCAACCCTACCTCTCCACCTTCTATAAAATCCATCCCTATTCATCAAAAACTTAACCCAATTCAAACCTCCAACACAACGTAACAATCCTAACCCAAAACTTCCAACATTATATTCTGTGATTTCCGGTTTAAGGATTTATCATGGCCCCCCACGGAGAGCCAGTCCTGCTCAGCTCCTATTCTCGTACGACACCTAAGAACAACAACAACAACAACGTTGGTGTCGGCGGTGGCGCCGCCAAACCTCCGCGCCTCGCCAACAACAACCTGCAAAGAACGGTGTCCGACATCTCCTTCGACCTGAGCAAGGAGGTGGCCGCGGCGTGCACCGCTGCGGCGGCGGAGGCCAAGCAGCTGCCGCCCATCTCGGAGGTGGAGGACGCCAAGTGCGAGTGCTGCGGCATGTCGGAGGACTGCACCCCGGAGTACATCGACCGCGTGCGCGCCAAGTTCGCCGGCCGGTGGATTTGCGGCCTCTGCTCCGAGGCCGTGAAGGAGGAGGAAGAGAAGAACGGCGGCAAACGAGAGGAGGCCGTCAACTCCCACATCAACGCTTGCTCCAAGTTCAACAAGTTCGCTCGGGCTTACCCGGTTCTTTACCAGGCGGAAGCCATGAGAGAGATGTTGAAGAAGACCAGAGCCGATCCCAGAGGACTCCGGGCCGCCAAAACCTTCAGCGCTAGGGATAACAAAGGCCAACCAAACAAAGCCGGGATAGCCAGGAGTTCCAGTTGCATTCCGGCCATAACCAGAGACATGACTGATCTTAACATCAATAATTAATCATTAAGAATAATGTTTTAATATAATGTATATATTAATTTATTTTTTTAGTTTTGGGAAATAAGACATTATTGTCCCTCGAGGGTTCCAGCTCCATGCATCCTACCTGTCTTCAAGTATTGACTATGAGTTTTCCTCGTTAAAAAAAAGCCATGATATAATCACCCTTTAGTATGGGGTTTTTTGGGTAAAAACTCACTCACCCATTAGGGTTAGTTATGACATTTCCATTCAGGGTACTAAGGAATTTTTTTTAGTCATCCTCTTGGGACTTTGAATATCTGATGATTAATGTATTATTAGACGACTAATGATGTATTTCGGAGTTGTACTTCAATGTAATGTAACCCTATTAACCTAGTATTATATATAGTATGAACGAACTTCTGCTATTTAATAATGCATGTATGCATACATATGATTGTCATAATATATAATTTAAGATTTTCAGTGCACAAAAGTTGATACTATTTTGTACGTATAATTACAACATGGTTTCATACGTCAATGGTTTTGGTTTGGGTTGATATAACAACACCTAAAGCTTAGAGAAATGACCAATTCATGAACATAAAGCAGATGCAATGGACATTTTCTTCCTCGTTCAGAACTTTCCATGCCACTGCTTTCTCATATGAAATTGGCCTGCTCATGCTTGACATGCAGATTCCGCCTTTAAGGCATGAAAAACCCTGTCGATTTACAAGAACAAAAACGAGGAATCAATCTCCAGTCGATCGTAGGATTAACTTATTTTGTTAAATCAAGAATTATATACGATAAGGACAATCTCAGCCAAGTTGGTCAGACTGTCAGGCTGTTCAGGCCTAAATTTTACGGAGTATATGATAGCTCAAAAAAAGATGCTTGATTTACTAACCTGTTGCATTATCCGGGGGAACTCAGAGCAGAGGGTTTTCCTTCCATGGTCGTCGAATATCTTCTCCAAACTTATGTCTTGAAGTGCGGCCAAAGTTGTCTCGAGCATGTCCAGTCCTGCCTGGTTTGCAAATGCAAGAAACGGTGACGCCTGCATAATTGTTAGAAGAGAATGAAGATAAATTTGCAGAATGGTGTCTGTTGTGAGAGTTCATTGTTAGCTTTTCTGCAAGTAAAATAGGTTTCTGGGTATGTAAATAGTATATTGAACTAGACTAGTTAAGGAGCCAAATTTCATGAATCCAATGGCATTTGCGATTTGCGAATCATGAGAGTTAGGCTTAATTATGAAAGGGGGAACCTTTGCGGAGCAGCAAACGACAGCGTCTGAGTGACTCCACAGTGCTTTCAAGATGGACTCGCTTCCTTCACCGCTGTATTTCAGTAGTTCCACGCCCAAGTAGCACCTGCGAAATAGGCATTGATATATGGTTGTAAGTATTTGATCGAATCACAGGCACAATGACAAGTAGTGATCGAGTAATACACCTGTAGCTTTGGCAGATCCACTGGGCGAGGGTGTGTGCTTCAGGAGTCCCGAGTGGCAGTCTCAGGCCCGGGTGGGAGCCCAAGTGGGAAGGAGAGAGTGCTAACGCTACCCTCTGAACAGACGAGATAACGCTGCGCACATACTGTCGCGCCATCGACACAACAGCCTCCTGCATGTGGCTTTCATAGGCAAATTGAAAAGCAATGGTCATAACAGATCTTGTCGCACTGTTATTAGTGCCGAGGCTATTTGGAGCTTTATTTTCCGCTGTCCCCGTCTCGAGAGCAGAAGTGAGGTCGAGGGTGCGACTGGGGCTGGAAGCTTCCTGCGTGACATCGCAAATGTTAGAAGAAACACAAAAAAAGTCGAATAATGACTGAATGGAAACCGAAACGAGGTATGGCATGGAAAAATGTAAACCTTGCCAGCATCGAGAGGAATGATGCGAAAACCAGAAGGGAGGAGAGGCGCATCATCCGCAAAAGACGCATCAATAGGAGCAAATACGAGCTCTGCACACGTCCCTACAGCGTTTTCATCCATTCCGCTACATAGCTGCCAAAGATAATTAACGCTTTATTCAATCACGCCCAATTCTCGACTTCAGTTTCAAATGTTGTTGCCATGGATGCAAAGAAACGGGACTTACTTGTAGCAGAAACATGTCTCTTGGCATGATTGCATCATCAGGGGAATGACCATTGCCTTCGAACTTAATAACCTCCAGCAACTACAGAGTGTTAATGTTGTTAAGGAATATATATTTATTGTACTGGCTCTGATACCATGTTACGAAAGTAAAGAGAGAGAGGGTTTCTAATGTGCTGTCGTATATTGTCTCAAACTGTCATTAGGAAAAGAGAATAAAAAGCCCTATAAATAGGTACTAGAAAACCACGAATAGGAAACAAGTTTCCATATGTCTTACCTCCCTAAAACCCTAAACTGCCTAATATATAGAGATACTATATATCAAATATATATTCCTTAACAAATGTAAAACAAGTAGTCAAGCAGAGACGAATAGATTGTAAAGGCTCCGATAACATAAACAACGAGAAGCACATTATGTTCATTCATAAAGCGATCCTACAAGACAAAGTTACTCACCTCTTCGTGCTCAACAGCGTGAGCCAATGGAAGTATAACTTGATTCCCAAAGTTAAAAATACGGGCTTCTGGTAGGATGCAAGGACCAACTTTAATAGCAGCAGCTGAATAAGCATCAATATTATTCTCAGCCCACTCGGACCTATGCTCCCGGAGAAACCTCAGAAGCATTGCAGGCGGAACATTCTGAAGAAAAAGTAGCACACGACATCATTAAAAGCAACAGAAGAAAAAGGCTGCCAAATTGAAATATTTCTTTAGACTCTAACAGCTTTTAAAAACAGTAACAAATAACAATTATTTTGTAATACACATCTGCCTCGGCAAACTAATAATGTGCTAATATTTTAATTAGCTGACCTGCAGAAGCATCGATGCTTTTGCACACAAGACTGCATTGCTTATGGATGTAAAACCATTTCCAAACGTGAGGTCTAGACCCATCAGTTTATATGGAGAGGAGTTGACGAGGACAGTGACATCATCAATGCCGTCATTACCAAGCAATGACCACCCCTCATCAGTAAAGCCATTCACAGCCTCGTTAAAACCCCTGCCAAGAGAATATATATAGGGAATTTATATAATTTAGTAACTTAAACTGAGGGCAGATATAAAGCATGTGATCTACCGGCTCAATCTCTGACGTAAAGCTCGTAAAGCTGCAGGCCATCTTCCAGAGTTCGTGAGATTAGGCTGTGAAACCTCCTGCGCTATCTGCCTCAGATGGCAAAGGGCCTGGAAGGAAACAAAACATATGTCATTGTGCAGTTCATCTTCATGATAGCCACTTGGAACAAATTCTTACCGCCATTGTTGTTTTATGAGCAAGCATTGCTGATGACTCATAGAGTGGGCGCAACACTTCTGGCACACTCCACGCCTAGCAGAGATTTTAGATTGTATTAAAAATCAATATGGTATTCAGTGTATGAATTGATGAGCATTTACAAGTATATACAAGATTGATTGACCTCTAAATTCATATGATCAACGATATGAATAATTGAACCTCCACCATCACAAGGTCTAATCAAGTACCCGCTAGGAAGCATTTCTGCTCTAACAAAGTTTGGTACTGGCGGCACACTCGGACCATTTTGTATATTACCAAGTGATCTTTCACACACCTATACATTTCATGAAATAAAAATGTAATGGTTCACAAAAAACGAGCAGGGCATAATGAAAATACCGGGCTAAATGAATTGCCTACCACCAGACTTCCATCATCCAAAACAGAAGCATAGCGTAACAACCAGAAGTCACGAGCAGGTGCCAAAGTTGTTGGCGCATAAAGCTAAACATAGACAAGTTTCAAAGCTTATCAGGCACGTGGCTAGTCATCCTGAGAGCATGAAAAGAAGAGTTTTGAGTTGCTTACCTGCATGTATAGAAGTTCAATGGTTCCACCATTGGCTGTGGGGATCACATTTAGGATATCAACAGTCCGGCAATCGCGAAACCAAGATGGCCTATCCTTGAGAATTTCTACAACCTGGAAACAACATTGCCTTCAGGCTTCAGTTATATAAAAAAATTCCAAATAGTAACCGTAGAAACTGGAAAAGAATCAAAAGAGGGAATCATATTACCCTTGTAGGCTCAAGACCAACTAAGCCACAAGCTCTTGCAGCCACGCCAGTACAACCATGAGAAATAGCAATGATTCCAATGGAATCCGGACCAGGCTACTCATACCAACAAAAGAAATTTAATCTTTAAATTACAATGATACACAAGAAGACAATTGAAATTAAATTTGAAGGTTTCATGATACCGGCAAGTATTGCCAAGCAATAACAAATAGATGATGCACTAAAATAATGTTCATGGTCCATTTTGTTCTTATTGACTTGTATTCAAAGCTAAACAGCAAGATTCTTTAGAAGCTGTAAATTTTTTTTGGCCAGGCCATGAGGCAGGTGTCCTGAGGAGACCCTAACTATAGGAGGCACCTTTAAGCCCGTACCATACTCATCAGACTAGTCCACATTCGCACCAGGCCGGCCCAATTAAGGTGCAAAGTGCTGGCCAAATTGATTTTTCCATACGAGAGGGGGTTCGAACTCCCGACCTCTCTTAAGGGATGAGAGTGCACGGCCACTCACGCCAATCAAGCTGGTTTTAGAAGCTGTAATTTAGTTTGCTTCTTTGTCTTCTATTTAGTATTATTTTGAATTTATGATATACCTTCATTCCAGGCATTTGGACCCACTCAACAGCAGTTCCAGTAGCCTTTGAAAGAAACTCTGCTAAAGTCTCTTTTGCAATGCATAAAAGCCTGGAAAATAGAAGAGCATGCAAAACTCCATAAGCCACCCACCAAAACAAAACAAGGATAACATCATAGCAGTCATGATCCTAAGTATTAAAGAAAAAGACTGAACAACCATAAACCCACTAACCCTTCAGGACTAGCATCCCTTGGAGGATGCTGAGGTGTCAATTGGAGTTGACCACTTGTCACCACTGATTCACAGCTGGTGTCTTTTGTACCAATCCCTGTCTGCAATGAAAGAAAACAACACCTCACTCCTCACTCCTCAAATTCAATTTACAATCACTTGAGCACTATGGAATTGCCAAATTATTCACAGGTGACAACTGACAATCTGATTTGAACATGACTAAAAAATTCTCACACTTGGAGTTTGCCTACGGAAGTGGCCATTCTCATACACCAATTGAGAAACTTGCTTCTGCAACCTGGCATTTTCCTCCATTAAAAGCTTGTTCATGGCTGTCAGCTTCCTATTCACAGACTGAAACCTTGAAGCTTCTTTCCTCTGTTTCTCCCTGCATCTGTGTTTCACAAATACAAAAATCTCCAATAACTCATTGCAAATAACACCAATAAAAGAAGTTTTAAGTTCCAAGAAAATATAATGTAAGCAGAATCAACAATAAAAGAAAAGAATCCAAGTAAAGATGCAATTTTTTTTTTTTTTTTTGCATAATACAATCAATAACTAAACAAACTGGGAGGATTTCTCAGGCAATCTAGAGAATACCTTCGATTCTGAAACCAAACTTTGATTTGCCTGGACTCAATGTTGGAGAGGATAGGGCATTCGCGAATGAGCTGCTGACGGCGCATGGAACTGGGTTTAGGGCACTCATGATAAAGCCTCTCGAGGGCGTCAACCTGCTCAGGTGTGTAGCGAACATACTTGCCATTATCCAATACTGACTTACCATCTTTGCAGGATATCGACATACTGTTTTCTCAAAACCCACCTCACAATTACAGAAACCCCAAGAGCCCTTTGCCTCCCTCTGATAAACAATATTTCAAACACCCTTGCTTCTTCTTACTGTTTAAAGAAGAAAAAATGATAGTGCCTCTGAATCGAGTTGGCGACTTGATAAAACTAATACTAAAAAGTAATACGGAGCATAAGATCGAAAGACAAGCAATTCCTGAACGGAAACGGCGCTATCCCCAGCACAAAGCACTAGAGAAACATATCTAATCTTTCGATTTCAGAGCTCCCAAACACCCTTTTGATCACCATTTCCAAAATCATTGCATGCGCGAAATCAAATTTCTTAAATGGCCTCCACATAAATCTTGAACGGTTAGATCTTGAAACAAAGATTAAAACGTGATATTCACCTAAAGATCGGAGCTTTGAGAGAAACGAGCAAATCCCAGAATTCCCATCTTCAAGGGTTTCACCAACAGTCCAATATTTATACACTCCACATGTCAAGATAGAAAAAAAAGAAAAATGAAAGAAATACAGGAGAAGGAGCTGAAAGTTATATTCTGCGATGGCGATCTTGGGCCGATGCAATGAATGATGAATGTTTGTTTAACGGAGAAAAGATAACTGAGCGTCTGGGGTCAAATAGATAATCATGGATTTTTGAGAAAGATGGGTTTTTGTAGCAGGTGGGGTAGTGTGGAACGCTGTATTGTTAGTGGCCGGTCAACCTCACTGGTTCAGCTTTTTGTAGGGATATTCTCTCTACGGTTCCACTGCACTCTGATACTGTACTATCTGTGATGACCCGAATTCCCAGCTAGAATCCGGATTCGTGTATACCTATGATTGAGACTTCCGGTGACTGATACAGGAAACCGACCAATATGCCCTTTCCTGTTTTTGCTATTTAACCTAACCCGCCAATTTTGTTGGCAGCAAAATAATTTTTTTTTTTTTTCTCAATACTTTTTTTGTCACATTTGTGTGAAACCATCTCACGAAGTCTTATTTCTGAAAACAAGTCAAACCATCTATTTCTTATTTGTGTGTGTGTATATATATTATACTTAAAACTCGCAGAGTAGGAAAACCCTAAATCTATTGCAGTTGCATACCCATTGCCTAAATCTCTCCGTGTCCTCCTGGAGATGCCACTTCCACCGATAAGGAGGAGCATCAAATCAGATGCCACTACCGAAGTTTGAACTTTTGAATTTTAAAGTTTTTATTATTTATGTATAGATAAAATAATATTTATTATTAATTGAAATATGAATTTAAATAGGTCAAACTCGAGAACTCAAATCGAGTCCGAGCTCGAGCTCAAGATCAAGCTCGAACTTGAGCTCAAGATCGAGCTGCTCGAGCCGAGATCGAGCGGCTCGAAAAATTGCCGAGCCGAGCTCGAGCATCATTTTTCGAGCTCGAACTCGAAATCGAGCCGAACTATGCTTATCGAGCTCGAGCTCTGCTCGACTCGTTTACACAATTACACCCCTTAGTTACTTAATTGTAAAGGAAAATGTATGTAATATTTTTGAACAAAAAATCCGTTCTTTTATTTGGGGAAGTGGAGTGCACCTGATTAAATGGGATGATCTCACGTACCATGCCTAACGTTACTGGCGGGATTGGTGTTGGAAGAATGAAGGAAATTAATCTTGACCTGTTAGTCAAAATTGGTTGGAGAATCCTCAAGGAAAATAATATATTGTGGTCTAAAATTTTCAAGGCTAAGTACATGCACGGCGGTAACACGCTGCCTGATATGAAAATTAAATGGAAAATTGGCGACTCGAACTTGTGGAAGGGCATCTGCGATGCGACTCCGGCCAATTGTCCGATGGAATTTGTACGTTGCAAAGTGAAAGACGAACAGCGGGAAATATGGAGCTCATGGAGGAGAGATGTGGAACAAAGAAAGCGACGGTCGTTTTTCTATGGCAATTACACCACGCACCTTCTCATGATCCCACGGAAAGATGGGAAGCCGGCCATTTGGAGGTTGAGGCTACCTAATCAAATTTGTGCGTTTATCTCAACCGATTGGATTACGAATGGTCCTCAACTGATTGGCCCCTGTGCGGAGCTAGCTTGTGCGTGGAAGGAGTGGCATATTATTATAAGTCACATCCCAGTAGATATGATCACAGTTCAATTCGAATCGAATCATAATCAGAATCAGAATCGTCCGTACTGTTTCGATTCTGATTAAGAACCTGAATTCAAAAGTTTTGATTTAAAGAATTCTGAGTTTCGGTTCCAGAACCAAGAAAAAAAAAAAAAAAGACCAAGTGATCTGTGGCGTTGTGGCCAGGGGCCACTCTACCGGTAGACTGGCGCAAGCCGCAAAGGCTAATTTTAAAACAAAAACCAAACATAACATCGCAAATTATGCTGTGCAACCGAATGCACCTTGCAAGGTGCATACGGTTGCAAAACGGCGCCGTTTTGATTAAAAAAAACGCGCGTCCCACTTAAAGAAGAAATCAGGTTCGATTCTCGGCAATAGCATTTTTATATAACCACAATTCCATAACTATATAACCACAATTTCATAACTATATATCCACAGTGAATGAATGAAGTAAAAATCCACAATGAATGAATGAATGAAGTAAAAATCCACAATGAATGAATGAATGAAGTAAAAATACACAATGAATGAATGAATGAAGTAAAAATCCACAATGAATGAACTAAATATCCACAATATATGATTGAACTAAATATCCACAATGAATGAACTATATAACCACAATTCCATAACTATATAACCACAATTTCATAACTATATATCCACAGTGAATGAATGAAGTAAAAATCCACAATGAATGAATGAATGAAGTAAAAATCCACAATGAATGAATGAATGAAGTAAAAATCCACAATGAATGAATGAATGAAGTAAAAATCCACAATGAATGAATGAATGAAGTAAAAATCCACAATGAATGAATGAAGTAAAAATCCACAATGAATGAACTAACTATCCACAATATATGATTGAACTAAATATCCACAATGAATGAACTATATAACCACAATTTCATAACTATATAACCACAATTTCATAACTATATATCCACAATTTCATAACTATATATCCATAATAATGCTATTGCTGAGAATCGAACCTGATTTTTTTTTTTTTTAAGTGGGATGCGCGTTTTTAGTCAAAACGACGTCGTTTTGAACCGTATGCACCATGCGCATGGTACATTCGGTTGCACAGCATAACTATTGACATAACATACACTGATAAACAAAACATAAAAAAATAATATAAATAAATAAAGGCCAAGTGGCCTGTGTGGTGTGGCCAGCAGGCCACTGCCAGTTGACGCAAATTATGCTGTGCAACCGAATGCACCATGCGCATGTTCGATGCAAAACGACGTCGTTTTGGTTAAAAAACGCGCGTCCCACTTAAAGAAGAAATCAGGTTCGATTTCCGGCAATAACATTTTTATATATCCATAAATTCATAACTATATATCCACAAATTCATAACTATATATCCACAGTGAATGAATGAAGTTAAAATCCACAATGAATGAACTAAATCCACAGTGAATGAATGAAGTAAATATCTATAATGAATGAACTAAATATCCACAATGAATGAACTATATATCCAGAAATTCATAACTATATATCCAGAAATTCATAACTATATATCCACAGTGAATGAATGAAGTAAATATCTACAATGAATGAACTAAATATCCATAATGAATGAACTAAATATCCATAAATTCATAACAATATATCCACAAATTCATAACTATATATCCAGAAATTCATAACTATGTGTCCACAATAATGCTATTGTCGAGAATCGAACCTGATTATTTTTTTTAAGTGAGACGCGCGTTTTTAGTCAAAACGACGTCGCTTTGCATCGTATGCACCATGCGCATGGTGCATTCAGTTGCACAGCATAACTATTGGCCAGTTGAAATAACATTTAAAAATTTAAAAAAAAAAAAAAAAAACCTAAAAACACACGGTTAGAATTGGCGGTTCTAACCAGAACAGCTGATTCATAAACCAAAATCGGAACCTTAACATAAGGTTCCGATTCTAGTTTGGCCATTTGAGGAACTGGAATCGGAACCTTAGTCATGGCTACACGTGAGCTGAATGGTTGGCCAAAAGTGCTACGCGTAGAAAATGCAATTGGATTGAGTTCCACGCACCACCGGTGGAGATTAGAGATATGTTAGACCTTGATAGTGCTTTGATAGCACCCTAACAACGTAGCTCTGTGTTCTGTTTTCGGGGTCACCCCCTCCTACTTTTCCAAAAAAAATATGTAAAAGTATTATATTTTCTCATATAAGTAATAAACATTTTATTCATAATTTAGTATTACATTTGCTAGTATGAGTATCACATTTCATGTTGACTCGACTGGTCTCACGTACGGATCCTCACAAAAGTTTTTGCCTTTTTTTTTTTTTTTAATACATTAAGGCCCCGTTTGGTTTGCAAAAAATATTTAGGGGAAATGGAATTTAAATTCTATTCAAAAGAAATTACCATGAAATTGACTTATTGTTTGGTTGGTCGAAAACAAATTACTGGGAATATATATTTATTCTATTGTTTGGTTGGAGTTGAAATAGTAAGAAATAATGAGTATAAAGATTAAAATGTCAATACAAAATGACAATGATAATAAAAGTAATAATATTTAAAAAAAATAATAATGAAAGTAATAATAAGGGTAAAATTGTCCAAGCATGCGATACGTACTTTCTTTTCAATTTCCATGAAAACAAAATGACACTCCCTCGGCCCTCACCTTGGAAATCATTTTCTTCAAAACTAACAAAAAAAAAAAAAACATTTCTTGGGAAAAGTTTTCCATGAATCAAACGGAGGAAAAATTTAATTTTCTCAAATTTAAGGAAAACATTTTCCATCCAACCAAATATGCTCTAAGGGTGTGGTTGGTTGGACTTTTACACCCTATTATAGGTTTTGATTTCGATTATTATGTTTGTTTGCCTACTTTTGTTATCATACTATTCGAATCAATCGTTTAGTAATTACAAAATTCATTACCCTTTTACTCTTCTATTATTGAACAATGGAATAAAAAATAATGAAAAAGAAAAAAGTCATTGTCAATGAATTAAATATGAAATATATATATATATATATATATATATATATATATATATATATTTGCTCAAATGCGATCGCTTGAAAAAGACACCAATAGTGTTAGGAAAAGCACAACAATGAAATGCACAAATATACAAAAAACGTACAACACTCCCAAAATAATGCATCATAACTCCCCATCCCTAATTGTGCATTTCTGGACACTGTGTGATACTTTTATGCATACCTAATGGTGCGTTTTTGGTAATGCATACCTAATTTGTGCATTTTTTGTTGTGCATTTCCTAACATTGTTGGTGCATATTTGCATAACTATTGGTGCGGCCGTACTGACCACACGGGAAGGCGCGGCCGCACCTAAACTATGTATGTATGTATGTATGCATGCATGCATGCATGGATGTATGTATGTATGTATGTAATCCGGTTCATATGAGAACCATTAAGCATTCCCGTGTGGGGGCCGCACGAGAAGGGTTCAGGTTCAGGGAAGAGTTCCTTAAGCATTAAAATGGCACACTTTAAGTACACAAATCACGCACCTTAAACACACAAACAAAACACTTTAAGAACACAAATCACGCACCTTAAGAACACAAACCACGCACCTTAAAAACACAAACCACACACCTAAGGTTTTAAAATGGTTCACCTTAAGTTTCACACAACTGACGCACTTTAAACATACAAATCATCACGCACTTTAAGAAGGAAAACAACGCACCTTAAGAAGGAAACTCACGCACCTTAAGTTTCAACAACTACTTACATTAAGCACAAAACCAACGCACCTTAATATAAAACTCACGCAATTTAAGTTTCAACAACTACTCACATTAAGTACACAACCCACGCACCTTAAGCACAAAACTCACACTCTGACATCTAGTTTCCCAACGGAAACCAATGTAGAAACCAGTTGGCCAGACTGGTTTCACTCCGAAAACCAATCGGCTAGACTGGTTTTCGGAAGTTTTCGGCCGTGGTAAGAAGATGCTAGAAGATGAAGGAGAAGCACATGATGTAGCAAGAAAAAGGTGAGAGCAAAAGACTGTGGTTTGTTGGTAGAGAGGCGAGTTGGAGAAAGGTTGGAAAATAATTTACCACAAAAAAAGGAGAAGTCATTTTCCTGAAATTCTTAGCTATTTTTTTATTGACCAAGGCATTGTTTTTCATTAACCTTACATTTTCCTACTTCCCAAATGGAAACCCGAAAGATGTTTTTCATAAATCATTTTCCTGATTTTAAAACTAACATACCCTCCTAACGGGGATAGTTAAAAAAAAAAAAAAAAAAAAACCTCAATAAACAATTCTCAGAAAATGTAAAATTAAAATCTTATCATATGCTTTTTGAAAACCAAAAACTTTATATAATTCATTAACTTAACTCAGAAAGAATAAAAGGAGGGAGGGATTCCGTCCCGACAGAACGTGTATGAACCGCTCCTACATGTTTTGCTAATGCATGAGCAACCAAAATCTTATCATATGCTTATTAAACCAATTCTCCTACCATAATTGAGGTTGCCCATTATATATAATTTATTTATTCTTCCAAATATATAATTTATTTAATGTTTTTATGTTGATCGGTCTTCCATGTAGAATCACATTTTATTGGTTTTCTAATCCTGTTCATTCACGAGTCACGGATGCTCTCTTTGAACAACTCCCAGCTCAGCTCTCGACGCCACACTTTTTGCCACGTGTCCCGTTCTTTCCACGCTCGGTTTGAACTACTTTTAACCCCCAATACCATATTCCGTAGAGAAAGCACACCATTATTGTCGATTTGTCGATGGGAGCCAAAACGGAGACCGGCATTGAGATGAACACGGAGGGAAAAGATCCGCCGGAGACTAACGGCGGGATGACTGGACCTCTGGTCACCGAGAGAGGTGCTATTCGTCGGAAAGCTGACATCATGGACGTCATCCTGCGAGCTCTGTGTCTGCTAACGTCGGTGACGGCCTTGTCTCTAATGGTGACGGCGAAGGAAGCTTCCACCATCACCGTCTATGGATTCAATATCCCTCTCCGTTCCAAGTGGTCCTTCTCTTACGCTTTTGAGTAAGCATCTTTGCTACACTAATGGCGGTTCGTTTCACCTAATTTTATTCTCTCAATCGGAATATTGTTAGTTTCTGAGCATTCATCCCTGTATTCACTGCACTAGTAGCAGGCTAGCCGCTAGGTCGGTGGAGATTTTGACATTTTTGTTGTATTTTCACTCACGGGTTCAACACTACACTAAAATAGATCAGATTATTTGTTCCCACTTTGAAAAAATAGACTAAAATAGCTATCTAGGGTTTATAATATCACTGTTGTTTGATTCATGTCTTTTATGAGGCGATTTTATTGTATTGTATGTATGAGGTATTTGGTGGGAGTATCTGCAGCGGTGGCGGTTCACGCCATGCTTCAGCTGCTAATCAGCGGGTCAAGGCTGCTAAGAAGATCGCCGCCGGCGCCTTCACGGAACCATGCTTGGATCGTTTTTGCGGCAGATCAGGCAAACAATTAAACAACACTCATATATATATATATATATATATATATATATATATATCGATCGCCATAGCTGTGAATGTATATATGAAAATGAATAGAGTATATTCTGAATTGGATTTTAAAATTTTGAAGGTATTTACCTTTGCGATGATGAGTGCGGGATCGGCGGCGGCCGGCGTTAGCAATCTGAACCATACAGGAATTCGGCATTTGGCTCTGCCCAGCTTGTGCAAACCGCTCCGTGGCTTCTGCGATCGGGTCGCTGCCTCCATAGCCTTTGCCTTTTTAAGCTGCTTTCTGCTCGCCGTTTCGGTAGTCGCCGACGTCGTTTGGCTCTCCAAGTCTTAGAACTTAGAAGCCATCTACTGCGGGCGGGCATGCCGTTCTATGTATTTCTATGGTTTTTGCCAATCCGATAGCTTAGCTTGTTGGATTGGTTCATTGGCATGTAGAAGAGTTGTGAGTGACTTATATGAGTTATATCCCACGATGATAATTATGATTACTCTGTATTTTATGGGAAGTTTATCAGATCGATTAATGCATCATTAGTCACTAATGGATATATAGTATCTACTCAAGACACTGAGCTAAACATGTTTATGTCCAACATTTTGTTGGAGTGATAATGTTTTGGTAAGCAAATGAGCCAAATATTTTTAACCAATTCATCATATTAATCAGATAAAATATCATTAAGCATTAAGTTGATGCGCTTTGTACAAAACACACGCACATTAAGCACACAAACAAAATACCTTAAGAACACAGATCACGCATCTTAAGAACACCAACCACGCACCTTAAGCTTTAGAATGACGCACATTGAGTTTCAACAAATAACGCACCTTAAGTTAAGTGTATAACTAACGCACTGCACCTTAAGTGTTAAAACAGCGTATGTTAAGTATTAATACAACGCACCTTAAACACAGAAAATATGCACATTAAATTTGAACAATATGCAAAATGACTAAATTGCCATCGTGTTTTTTCTTTTAATTCGTGTTCATCCTAGGCGTTGATTTTGGCAAGATCAATGACTAACATTCACCTGCATGTTTCACCTAGAACTTCTTCTGCATTTGATACACATACGCACACACGCACATTGTCCATTGTCTTCTTTTTACATTATCTTGTGATTAAATATCAAAGTTATAATACAAAACATGTTATATATATATATATATATATATATATATATATATATTATGTATTTTATACAAATATAATAAATATTAATATTTTGTTCAATACGTTCACATGATAACCTACGACACACATCTCACAACACATGAAACATGTAGGAAAAAACTACCACTACTTAATGGCCCTGTTTGGTAAAATGGCTATTAGCTGATAGCTGTTAGCTGATTGTGTTAATTAGAGGGTATAAATAGTTGATAAAATTAGCTGATTTTAGAAAAGTGTTTGATAAATTAGCTGTTTGGTGATAGCTGTTTGATATAATTTTTTTTCTCAAAAAGCTAATTGAAAAAGTTGCTAGGAGTAGCTTTTTTAATTTTAGCCTTTTGGAGTTGCAAAAAGCTAATTAACCAAACATTTATATTGATATTTTAACTAAATCAAACAATTAATAATGGTCAAATAAGCCAAAATTGGCCTATAGGCCAATTTTTTACCAAACAGGGCCAATATCAATATGTGTTTGTAAGATAAAGAGTTCATATTACAACTAAAATCTCAACCATATACACAACAAGACAAATCTACAGCTTTTTACACCATAATCTCATTGCATGATGAATCCCTCTATGCTGCTACCAGTAACCTAATTGCACATGACACACTACCAATAAAAAAAAAAGAAGAAGACATGTACTGAAGATGAAAACAATGACAATTTTATTTACCTATGGATAAACATCTCCTATATATAATATTGCATTGATATACTTTGAAATACTTATTTAAAAATAATCATTGGACATTATCTCATTTTCGCAAAACGCGTAAAAAAATTAATATTTTTATAATTAAGAAATTAATTTTATATTACACTGGCCGAAATTAATGTACCAAAATAATAATTATTTATTAACATAATTATTGCCTAATATAATTGTTGTAAGTACACTTTCCTTTTGAAAAATATAATTATACAAATTTACACTATTCTAAATGGGTTGAAAATATTGATTTATGACAATAAAAGTAACAAAATAATTTCAACAGTAAACATTGTATACAAGAAATTTTTTTAAAATTTGACCTTATTGTATTCTCATAATTTAATATTATAATTGTTATTAAATTTCTTATCCTTTTTTTACTTTCTAACGTAAATTTACAAAAGTAGTAATGAAATTCTTGATGTTTTGATTTCAAAGTATTTTTAATTCCAGACTATTGTCTATATTTTTTTTCTTTTGAAATATATTAATTTTATTTTACAATAAAAAATTACATAAATCATATATGGAAAGAAAGTAGTTCTAAATTAGGTGATTTAATTTTAATTCTTTTACATCTTAATATCTTTTTAAAATCATTTTGCATTTTTCTATATTTATTTTTAGTAATAATATAAATGCCTAAATCATATTACAATATCTAATTTCCAATGTTATATATTATTCAATTAAATGATGATACTTTTACACTAATTTTATAGTCAAATAAATATACACTTTTAAATATTAAAATTATTTATAATTTTATTTTTAATTTTATTATTTAAAATATATAATAAAAAAAATTTATCTGTCTATCGCACGGATAATTTACTGAGTATATAATCAATCTTTGAGTAACTGGGCTGGACTAAATTGGACCTGATCCGACCGGAGTAACAGCCCAACTAAGAAACTTGGATGTTGGGCCACAGTTCAAGAGAGTACTGTATCAACTAAACACTGTGGGCCGGGCGTCTTGGAAGTTCTAGAAATTTCTTATCCTACTAACTATTTGTAAGAAGTTGAGCTTCCTTATCTATATTCTGCTATTCCTCTCACTCACTCTACTTTCCAAAGCCCTCAAAGCAACTCATCAAACAATCAATCCCAGGATAAGGTATTCTGTTTTTCTTTTATATTGCAATTGCAATTCTGCCTGGATTTTGAATCTTTCATTTGCTGTATCGTAGATTTTTGCTAATGTTTCAAGCCCAGTTTCTGCGAAGTTCATTGCGATTCATTTTGCTTCAATTTTTAGTTTCATTATGTCTGTTAGGGAATTTGTCTGTTATTCATTGTGAATTGGAACTTCTATGGATATGTGACCATAATCTCGCTACTCAAACTTTAACTCTTTTGGCTCCTTTCTTAGAATTAGAGTAGCGGAGCGGTAGAACTTGATAGAGAATGGAGATAATCAATAGAAAAAGGCGATATATGTTCATGTGCAATATTTGGAGAATGCTACTTCCAGAATGGGTGTGGTTGTAGAATATTGTCAACTGCAGTACTTGTGGATTGACAGTGTTGGGTTTATATTAGGTTTCTTGAAATGATACATGCTAAGTATTCTATAAGATTACAAAGACACAATAAATACATATGAAATGATTCATATCTAATATATTAATAGAGGCTGGGTTAGTGTACGATCTATGCTCTCCAGAAACAGCTTTTTAAGCACTAAATATTACAAACTTAAGGCTTTTGTAGTTTTGTATTTGCTTAGACTAGAGTTTCGTGAATTTCTAGAACTGTACTTTAGAGTAGTAGTTTACATTTTTACCTACCAGCCTTTCCAGCATCATGTGTTTTTATATGTCTCATAAACTATTACAAAAGCGGAACTTTTACAATGCTATGGTTGATGATGTTACAGATTAGTTGTGGAGTATGGCTTCAACGTTCTCGGCCATGTCTTCACTTGGTGCAGTTGTCTCTGCCAGCCAGACGATAGAAAAGAAATCTTTAAAATCTTCTGAAACGTTATCTTCTTTTGCATCATTATCTCCAAATGCATTAGGAGGTAGGAGGAAAAATGTGGTCTTGCGGAAGAGATCTAAGGTTCGGGCTATGGCCAAGGACTTGTACTTCAACACAGATGGTTCTGCTATCAAGAAATTGCAAGTAATCTCCCAAGATAATCTTCCTTTATTTTTTTATACCACATATTGCTTGCTTTCTCTCTTCATCCTTCTCCAAATTGTCACTTTGCCTTTCCATTTCAGGCAGGTGTGAACAAACTTGCAGACCTAGTAGGTGTTACTCTTGGGCCAAAAGGAAGAAATGTTGTTTTGGAGAGCAAGTATGGTTCTCCAAAAATTGTTAACGATGGTGTAACTGTAGCTAGAGAGGTATATGAACCTGGCCTTGAATAAATTTTTAGTCTTCCTATATCATATGGTATTTAAGATTCAGTATGAAATTATATGATATGAAGTAACAAATTATATTGATAAATCCTAATGCACATGATAGATGTTTTGATAGTGTTATGCTACTTGTTTAATGGTATTCAACAAAATATGCATCCAACTTTAATGCAAGCCTGAAATGGAAGTACAGGTTGAATTGGAAGACCCTGTTGAAAATATTGGTGCAAGTTTAGTGAGGCAAGCTGCTTCAAAAACAAATGATTTAGCAGGGGATGGTACAACAACATCTGTTGTTCTGGCACAAGGTCTGATAACTGAAGGAGTTAAGGTTTGTATAATCTAATGCTATTCAGTTTTAGGTTTGGTGATTTCCAAGAAATTTGTTTTTAAATTGTCAACACACCCAATTTTAGCCGTTTTAGCTGGTTACTTCAGGTTGTTGCTGCTGGTGCAAACCCCATTCAGATTACCAGGGGCATTGAGAGAACAACTAAAGCCCTGGTGGATGAGCTCAAGCTAATGTCAAAGGAGGTAAAGCTGAAGATTTTTATGTTCAATTTTTCTAATGTTTATGTTGATGGCCATGGAGTCACTGCCCCTGAAATCTAATAGTATAGTTTCTGCTCAAATTGTATTCTTTCAAATGTTGGTGGTATTCATTCTGTTATTTAAAGTTGTATTGTTTCGTGGTTAATGTAATTTTCAGGTTGAAGACAGTGAACTAGCAGATGTGGCTGCAGTCAGTGCAGGAAACAATTATGAAGTGGGGAACATGATAGCAGAAGCAATGAGTAAAGTCGGCAGGAAAGGAGTGGTGACTCTCGAAGAGGGGAGAGGTTCGGATAATCATCTTTATGTTGTGGAAGGCATGCAGTTTGACCGTGGCTACATCTCCCCTTACTTTGTTACTGACAACGAGAAGATGGTTGCTGAATATGAAAATTGCAAGGTGTTGTCCCATAAGCTCTTCATTTTATTTTAATTTTTTTCCTGGTCTGCCTATTTCTAATAAAAAGCATTTTCCCTATACTTGAAAAATGTGAACATTCTTCATGAACGTGTGATTATCTTGGCAGCTACTTCTGGTTGAGAAGAAAATAACAAATGCAAGGGATCTAGTTAATGTCCTGGAAGAAGCAATTAGGGGAGGATACCCCATTATAGTAATTGCAGAAGACATAGAGCAGGAACCTCTTGCAACTCTAGTTGTTAACAAATTGAGAGGGTCACTAAAAATTGCTGCATTAAAGGCTCCTGGTTTTGGAGATCGCAAAAGCCAATATCTTGATGACATTGCCGTTCTCACCGGAGGTCAGTTTATTATCAAGTACATTGTGTACTACTGTGGTTTGCTAAGTTTTTATTGTGAAGTGGTGCTATCTGCATGTTCTGTCCTCAGGTACTGTAATCCGAGAGGAGGTTGGTTTGTCGCTGGACAAGGCTGGAAGTGAGGTCTTGGGTCATGCTGCTAAAGTGGTGCTGGCCAAGGAGTCGACAACAATTGTTGGTGATGGTAGTACTCAAGAAGTAGTAAACAAACGAGTTGCACAGATTAGAAACCTTGCCGAGGTGTGAATTGTATGAAATAATTTGTTCCTCTCATATGTGGCCATTGCTTGGACTCTTCTGAAATTCAAGTATATTTGGATTGTTCGTACAGGAAGCTGAACAAGATTATGAAAAAGAAAAGCTGAATGAAAGGATTGCAAAACTCTCGGGTGGTGTTGCTGTCATTCAGGTAAACCCTGCTAATATAGGATGATGCTTTTATTGCTTTTAATGTGTCCAATTGTATCTTCTGCTGTGTTGATTTTGGGTTTCCTTTTTAAGGTTGGTGCACAAACTGAAACTGAACTCAAGGAAAAGAAATTAAGAGTAGAGGATGCTCTAAATGCAACAAAGGTATTTGAAATGGAATAACTGCGAATTTAGCTAGTCTTATTAATTTCAGTTAGCACCTGTTAAGTTGATGAGGTAAATCCGAATGTTTGGCAATTGAAGGCAGCAGTAGAGGAAGGGATTGTAGTTGGTGGGGGATGTACCTTGTTGCGTCTTGCAGCTAAAGTTGATGCCATTAAAGAATCTCTTGACAATGATGAACAAAGGGTAAGGCAGTTCGAATATTTAACTGTCTTTTTCATTATTTATGTATATATATATATATATATATATATATATATATATATATATATATATATATATATATATTAGGCAGCTGTATTAACACATGCTTTTAGGTTGGAGCTGACATTGTAAAGAGAGCATTGAGCTACCCTATGAAGTTAATTGCCAAGAATGCTGGAGTAAATGGAAGTGTTGTAATTGAGAAGGTAGATTATAATGAATTCTTCATTCCAGTAATTAGGTAGCCAATATCTTCATTGGAGTGCGAAAATGATTTTGTAACTGGGAATACAATTCTTTTCAGGTCTTATCCCATGATAATCCCAAATATGGTTACAATGCTGCAACTGGTAAATATGAAGATCTAATGGCTGCTGGTATAATTGATCCCACAAAGGCACGTCTCTTGTTCACTTCCTCTTTAAATACATTCAAACACAGTATCTCATCTTATGCATTTGGTATTAGGATATTACTAATTTGAGGGATACATCTACATAGGAATTAATTTGTAGTTCTTGCTCAATATAACATATAAATAATTTTCTTGACTTTGCTACCTTATCACGTATAATAAGTGAAATGCGATGTCACATCTAGTTTTTGGTACAATAATGTGGTTGTGGAGATGGGACTCGACTGCAAGTTTAGCTTACTATTATTCAAGAATGAACAAAAATGAGGTGTATTTTGTTGGATATATAGGTGGTAAGATGTTGCCTGGAGCATGCAGCTTCAGTTGCGAGGACCTTCCTTACATCAGATGCCGTGGTTGTGGAGATTAAGGAGCCAGAACCTGCCGTTGTTGGAAACCCAATGGACAACTCAGGTAATTACAGATGAAACATGAACCATTGGAAAGTGTTTGATTAATCCTGGCTAGACCTCTCCAAATCTGAGCAATTGGTTTTTGCTTTTGATTCCAAACAGGTTACGGGTACTAGGCTAAGCTAGGTGAGAGTTAATAAACTCCGTGAGGGGATTTTGTCAGCAAGGAGATTTGATAGGACTCATTCCATTCCAATATGTAGTCTCAGACGGCTTAAAGTTGTAAGACACTTTTTTTTTTTGGTTAATTAGGATTTGAGTTATTATTACTAATTTTTTTTTTAAAAAATAGAAGTAATCCATTAAAATAAGTGTATTGATGATTTGATGATGAATAGGAGGTTCCTTGTTAACCTTGCATGCGTTGATGTCTCTTGTACAATATGAAATGATTAATGTGATAACTTGTAATGCCTTACCTTCCCTAAATCACATATTAATTGAGTGGGTAGTTGACAGTCACATTCATTTTAATACATAGGGTTGTTTCATGAGCAAGCTTGCTGTCCAATAATAACATTTTTTAATGTACGTGTCAAATTGTCAATCAACTCTTCAATTGTAATTGTCCTTGAGAGTACATGCATTTATTATTTTCCGTTGTGGTAATGTGGCAGTGCAAAAACATTTACAAGTTACAACGTAATAATATAAATAAGGGAAAATGATTAAATAGACTTTTGAATTTTACTTCAAAAATTAATTAGGTCTTCAATTTTTTTGAAGTTGCAATTAAATATATAAATATGTCAATTTAGTCCATCAAAACCTAATTACTTGTTAGTAACTTGTAATATCAGGTCACTAAAATTCTAGCGGTTGTCGGATAATAAAAATGAATAATTGAGACCAAGGTGTTGTCGGAGAAGGCATGACCATCTCTAGCGACGTAAATTAACTTGTAACAAAATTTATCAATTTATAAGTATTTATGGAAGTGGCATCAATGCATGAGTATGTATAGATATGAATGGTAATGACATGTTTTGAATTTTGATGTCATATCTACATACCAGATAAAATTTGATACAAATATGGCAAAAATTTGTGTGAGGCAGTTTCATAGATCCTTGTCCATGAGATATGTCGAGTCAAGATGAAAATGTAATACTTATATTTAAAAATATAATACTAACCGAACTTTTGAAGAAACAAATATTTTATTCCTGATTAATATTATATTTTCATCTTAACTTGACCCATGTTACAGATAAAATTCATGAGACGGTCTCATGAGAGACATTCTATAAATAATATTGATTAAAATAAAATAAATAAAAGAAGATCGTATCTGGGGAAACACAAATCTTTATCATTAATAGTCTCTGTAATATGGTGGCCAATGGTGTATTATCTTCAAATATTGACTATATATAGTTCATTGGCTGATTTATTTTCACCAATGAATTTGGAGTTCATAATCAATGCCCACAAATACATTATTATTGTCTATTGACCTAACAACCAGCCAGGTCTTGCCTATATATACACCCTAATTAACTTCCTAACCACCACTTGTTAACAAAATAGTTGCCATGGCATAATTCTACTTCTCAACCAACTCAAAATAAGTTTATAAGTTTTGTTTTGCTAGCATCCGTAAGATGCAAGGTTCAAATCATACCAATGATTAAAAAAGAAAGGTATGTATTTGACCAGTTAAGATATATATCACAATTTACCTTCTCTACTAGTATCTAGGGCAGAAGTAGTGAGAGACTCTTAAGTTTGAGATTCAAACTTAATAATTAAGAACACTTTTAATTCAATTAATTCCGATTAAATATAGTTAACTCATTCCAATCAAATCTTGTTGATATTTTATAGTCCCATTCACCTTCAAGTCAACATTACAAGTTTTGACGAGATAATGAGATATTCATTAATCTAATTTCTTTTATCAAAATGATGATACTTAGAATCTTTTTAACAATTTATATAATATTACAAATTAGTTCTTTATCAAAAGTATGATTTTATACAAGTTGAGGTTAATACTTTACAAGTAATAAATGGTATTAAGGATATTTTTCAGTTTGATTTTTGCAAATCACATTGCTTGATGGCTAGGAAAACCATTTTCATGTATATATGATTGTAGGGCTCCCCTATTTTTATATGATACTTTGAATTGTGATCTGATTCATTAATGGATCTCTTTTTATTCCAAAAAGTTCAATAATACCAATAAAAAATATTAAGTTTAATCAAAATTTAATAATAATACAAATATCACCATCAAATTCTAAACTTCAATTCTTACTAATACAAATGACCTAAATATCAATTTATTTGTATGTAGTATTAGTCTCTGCATCTTGCAAGATATCAATATCAATATACACTATGTTTTTTTTATTTTTTTTTTAATTTTATAAATCTATTCACTCATGTGAATCGACATTCAATTATGTATTTACTACACAATCAATTACAAATTTACAACTATTGTCAAACTTAGTAATATGGTGAGAAACAATACGTATAATCTTCCAACTACCATGACAACTTATTATAGCTTGCAAAAGTTTGAGAATTCTATATATATCTACTATTCCAACCTAATTAAGAAATCATACCACGTGCAAATTCTCCTTGAGACTTCCTATTGCTAATTTAGTAATGATGATTAGTTGAGTGATAAAACAAATTTATTTTGTTGACATGCCATGGGAGAATGCATAATAATGAAGAATATATCATTTTGGAGAAAATTAACTTACAACGTCAATCGATATTAGTATTGATAGTATCAATCAACTCTTTTTTTTTTCAACTTCTAATTATTAAGAGTAATACTAATATAAAATCTGATCTTGTCCATTCCAATACCTGGCTTAGCTTATCTGCTGTACAAGTAATTAAAACTCATCATGCCTGCATGGGTAGCTCAACTGGTCATAAAGGTGAAATTTTGGAAGAATGACCAAGGATTGAGTCTCACCAGTGGCAGTGTGGGAGGAACCTCTCAAAGTGAGAGGGGCTCCTTGTGCGCAGTGAGCACCGGTCTAGTCTTTATGATTCATGTTCAGTTGATTTACATCCTCCCAAATGCTCTGTCGGGCCGGGGTGTGGGGGGCCCTTAGGGTTGGGGTTCAACCTTTTGGAATGAATTAAAACTCATCAGGGCCATGCCACACATAATAGGTAGCATTTAATGCCAAGTAAGGGGTTTTATGACCATTAAAAATGTGGTGTTTATTAAATGCCTCTTAATGAATTAATTAATTGAATTGAATCAGTTGGGAAACAATATGTTTCCAACCAACCAGATGGGATTTAAACCCGGGACCTTGGGTTTGATATTAATTGGATCTCAACACTGTATTATGTTTACTTCTCGGTAGTCAAATACGCTTAACTATATATTTTTTTGGTTATTTGGTTATCATATATATCTTTCTTAAAATCAATTTTCAATAAATAGGTGCACATTTATTAATCATTTAATCACATCCCTCTATGATAAGTCACTGCACCACGGTTCGATGGTAAGATGCTGAACTCAACCCTCCAAGCCGCAGTCTCAATATACTTTTATACTTTCTTCATACATCCACACTTTCGACTTGCAATGAGTTGACTTTTCAAAACTCATTCGATCCCCTTATTATAGAGTCAGTAGCATTCAAAAAAAAATATATATAAAATAATAAAAATATTCAAATACAAAAACTAAATTGTTATTTTTTTTTTCAAATTAACTTACTAGAACTAAAATTAGTAAAAAGTTAACGTGAGTTATACAAAGATTTTTAGAATTAACTATATATTAATACTTATTTTACTATTAAATAAATAAATAAAATGGTAGTATATTTTTACATGTATCATTCAGGCATGAAAAAAAATAAGATTTGCACACAAATAGGTAGCACCAAGATTATCACACTAGATTCGAGGTGGTTTTAGTAAGTGATACCAAGTTCTCGAAGGAGAGCAATTAACCATGTTACCTTAGTTGAGACATCATCTATTGCTTTGTATTTTGCTCCGTTGATTAGGATCTAGTCACCGCCTTTCGCTTGCAACACGCCCAATATTAAATTTTTACCAATGAATACAACAAAACACTAGTTGACTTTCGGTCATAAAGACACCCCGCCCAATCAAAATCCAAAAAAGCATAGATACCATCAGACTAAGATTTTGTAAAATGTAAACCATAGTTTAGATTACCTTTGACATACCTTAGAACATGCTTTAGAGCAACCTAATGCTTTATTAGTGTTTGGAGAATGCTTGAGCTGGCAGAGTTTGTCGATTGCAATGGAGATATTTGGATGAGTAATGGTTAGATACTAAAGTGTTCCAACTAGACTGTGGTATTGTGTTGGATTTTCATATAGTTGAGATGAGGTTGCTGCACTTAGCTTGTTGTTGACTAGAATTGGAGTTGAGATTGATTTGCAATTTTACATTCCTGACCTTTTGAGTATTTCAATCATGTACCTTCCCAGTGATATAAGAGAATTGGTCAGGGTAGGAGCATGTAATATTTTGTAGTTGAAGGGGACACGAGCGAGGGAGAAGATTAGAAGTAGTTCCAATACTAGAAATATTCAAACCTATATCATTACCAACTCGAAGAGTGTCATTCTCTGTGTACTCTTCAACATGTTATAATGAAGAGAAATTCAGAGTGGCATCGGTGTTTGGGACCAAGTTTTGAGAGAATGGTGCAGTGGCTAGATCATTTGCTTAGGTCGTTTCACTTGAGGCTAGGATCGGGGGCTCCTGAATATCTCATATAACATTGTAGGGCAGTATGACCAAAGTTGTTGTAGATTTGACACTTTTGAACTTAGCCACGATTACGTCCAAGACCTTGTCCTCCTCTATTACCACGACTACAACCACATAGTTGATTAGCAGCGCGTTTTAGTTGTGAGGCATTGGATGGTCCACGTTAAGCAACAATTGCTCCTGTTGGCTCCGGGGGATCGGAGCGATCAAAGAGATGTCATCAGCGTAGATGAACTGATGTGCGGTGAGATAGTCGTTTAGTTGATCATTCGTCACAGATTCCTTAGTGGTCAGGGAGGAGACCATCGCGCATCACTTAGGGTGGAGGCCTTTGAACTGATAGAGATTCTGTTCATCCAAACCAATTGGTCAGTCGACTTCTACAAGTAGTCTAATTACAACCTTGGCTTTGCCAATATGCTCACTTGTAGTGGAATCCCCTTAGCGCAATGACTATAGCTAACTAAGGAGACTTAGAGATTGTACCCAAGATGAGAATCAAATGCAGCTTCAATAGTTTGCCATAGGGCTCGGGACGTGGCATGTCCTACTGCAACATACATAACTTCATCAGACAGAGACGAGATGGGCGTGGACAAAATAGAAGAATCTTGACGGACTTAATTTTTGGTTGCATATATAATTAATTGGCTACAATAGAGCACCAATCTGGAGCCTGAATAAACAAAGCCGGACACACTAATGTGTCGTTAACATATCCACTAAAATTTTGACTACGGAGAAAGGGAACAAGTTGAGTCTTCTAGAATAGACAGTTTGAAGAAGTAAGCTTACTGGATATAAAGTGATGAGTTGTTTGTAAGGTATTTATTGTGGCTGGGATTGGAGAGCCAATATCTGAGATGATGCGAGGGGAGGAGGCAGTGGTGGCGGCTTTGCTAATCGGCGGTGCTAGCAGGGTTGGCAGTCATGGATTGTTTGGTTGATCTACAGATACCAGATGAGAACAATAGTTCTGAGAAGAATTTTATATTGACCAATCCAATTTACAAAATACAAAAAAATATGCATTTATAAGAGTACAATGATTAGTTGTAGTTAAATTAAAAATGATAAAAGATAGATTTGCAATAATATGGAATCCTAATAATCCCTACTTATTTCTTAGGACATTAATATATAACTTTTAGTATTTTATGGTTTTTACCTTATGAGCATAACTATATAAAATAATAAATGTGAAATCTTTAGTTGAGACAACACAACCTATAATTTAATTGGTATAAGATAAAAGCATTTGGATTGATATTGAAATCGAAAATTTTCAAGGAATTCTCTAGATAATAGATATAAAGATAACTTTATAGAATGGCACAAGTTCAATAATGCACAAACTTTTCAAATATTTAAGAAAAAATCTCATATATATGTTCGATTTTTTTTTTTTTTTTTTTTTTTATAATTTGTGTAAAACAATTCATTAAGAAAATGTAAATTTTGATAAGAAAATTTGCAAGGAAATTTTACAAATAATTTCCTAGCATGTTCACTAGCGGTCCGAGCAAATTTCCCTTGCCCTTTGACCTAGGTTATAAGTAAGTACAATTTTATTATAAGCATCACATGCTACGAAATATCTCATTCAATTTTGGTAAATTAAGGCATGTGAAAGTATCAATACATTTTAAAATCTTCTACTCTTTAAATTAAAGCACTTTTCTTCTATGTTTTATCAAACATCAATACCTAAAAGTTTCTCATGAATTATATCAGATATACACACTTTATTTTTTTGAGATATGATGAATCTGATGGATTTACTTTATTCAATTATATGTTTTTATAATTTATGCTATCAATGACCATACCCTTAACCTAGTGGTTGATTGAGTTGTGATGTGTTGAATTTTATGTCAAGACTTTCAACTATAACAAGAACTATATATATATATATATATATATATATATATATATATATATATATATAGAGAGAGAGAGAGAGAGAGAGAGAGAGAGAGATCAAATACGGATGAGATGTCCAGATGAAACATGTGAGTGAATGATAGTCATTGGATCTTGCCAAAATTAACTGTTTAGATTGAACACTGATTAAAAGAAATGCGGTGGCATTTTGATAATTTTGCGCATTGTTGAAACTTAAGGTACGTATTTTCAGTGCTTAAAGTGCGTCATTTTAACACTTGAGGTGCGTCAGTTCTACACTTGAGAACTTAAGGTGCGTTATTGTTGAAACTTAAGGTGCGTCTTTTCAAAACTTAAGATGTGTCCTTTTAACACTTAAGGTGCACCTTTTTAACAATTTAAGGTGCGTCAGTTACACAATTAAGGTGCGTCAGTTACACACTTAAGGTGCACCATTTTAACACTTAAGTTGCGTCTTTGTAACACTTAAGGTGCGCCATTTTTAATGCTGAAGGTGCGTCATTTCAACACTTAAGATCAGATGCATCATTTTAATACTTAAGCGGCGTCATTCTAACACTTAAGGTGCAACATTTTTACACTTAGCTTCTGCCTTCCAAGACGCGCATTTTTTTTTTTTTTTATAAATTTTCATTGATTTGAGTAGTTGATCTAGATTTGATCAACGGGACAAATCTCACCGCATGTTCCACCTGGGAGATTCTTTGCACCAGATCCCATCTATATATATATATATATATATATATATATATATATATATATATATATATATATATTTATATATATATATATATATATATATATATTTATATATATATATATATATATATATATATATAGAGAGAGAGAGAGAGAGAGAGAGAGTGGCATCTCATGACAATAGTCGTGTATGTAGAAACTGCGAATTGATTTTAACCGTTGATATGGAGAAGATCAATAACTATAAAGCAAGAAAATCTGGAAAAATCGTGATGATATTTTGATACATATTTTAAACATTGAAGTGTTGACAATTGTAGAATAAGACTTCAAACTTTTAATTCTTGAGTCACTAAAGCACATTTTGTGATTCACCTTCTCCATAAATTTTAAAAATAATTAAAAGTGAAACAGTAAAAACTCTCGAGATTGAGATTCAACATTTTTAATATACATTTTTCCAAAAAAACAAACATTTTTAATATACATGTGAGTTAGGTAGGGAATAGAGACATCAAAATTAAGCATGATAGGCATCGTACATAAGGATCCAAGAAAAGATGTCAGTTGTGGAATAAGAGAGGGAAACAAAAAAAACAAAAATATCTAACTACCACTTCTCTGGCAATATATATGACTACACTAATTAAGGAGTAATCATAAAGTTCAATGAGAGCGACATTTTATGAAATAATTATTGTTTAGGCTTTTTTTTTTTTTTTTTTTTTTTTTTTTTTTTTTTTTGAATACTATTGACTCCGGTACAATGTAGTATCTATTTATATATACTTTCTTAACTTTTTGAAACACAGAGTTAGTATTGCCCCCAATAATAAGTATACGTAGCATTAATATATGCATATTCATTGAATTGAAATTGAATTAAAATTTAAAATCCCATTAATTACATTGTATATTATCACTATCAAGTGTGTGTGTGTATATACACACACACACATATCAACCACGTACCCCTATACAAATCTTGGTTAGTTGTCCATCACAATTCTAGAGGCTATTATAGTGACTGTGATTCATCGAAGTTAGAAAATAATTGGTAATTAGAAATTGAAAATTGATAAATAATGATATTTTTTTGTCTCATTTTACAGGTTGGATTTAGTTCATAATATTTAATTTAAATTATTTGTAATTTATTTTTTATAATATTTAATTTAGAGTTACTATATACTGTAAAATTGATACATTTTAAAACTAAAACAAAGAAAGAAGAGTTAGTTTGGCTGCTAATAAATACAGAGTAATAAATATGACAGATAAAATAAATTTAAATAAGTAATTATATAATAAAATGAGTAATGAGTATCTATTGTGCACAATACGTTTTTTTATTGGGTAAATTTATGTGTACTACTTGGATTATATACCGAATACTATTAACACTTGTTTTATAATGCACAGAGCAATCAAATTTATCATGCATAGTTGTGCTTTGGTTGACACATACCTTAGAAAAAAACCAAAGATTTAAAATGCATGAAATGATGATTATGCAATTAAGTTCATATTATATTTATGCACAACTTTAATGCTACTAATTAAAATAAAATGGATTATTAAATCAAAATATTAATTCCAAAAAAAAAAAAAAAACTAACAATCCTTTTTTTTTTTTTTAGCAAGAATCCCATTTCAGAATCACACTTTCCCCATCTGCTACTTGATCAACAAAATACCCACAAAATTCATCATGCAACACCCACGACTCGGCCGAGTCGACCAGCTTCAACTCGGGCCTTGACTCGAAGCTTCCGTCGAGTGTAGGAAGCTCAATTATCGCCGCCAGCTCCTCCTCCTCCTCCTCCGACGTACAGACGACATTATCGGAGTTGAGGTCCTCCATGGCGGCGGCTTTAGCAGCGGCGGCTTGGACGTCTCTGGGGTGGAGCGAAGCGGGGCGAGGGAGGCAGTCGGTGAGGTGCGGGAAGTTGAGTGTGGCGGAGGCGCCCTTGATGCTGAGGGCGGCGACGTCGTGAGCACGCGCCGCCATTTCTGGGGTGGAGTAAGTGCCGAGCCATATGCGAGACTTCTTGCGCGGCTCGCGTATCTCCGACACCCATTTCCCCCAGCTCCGCATACGCACGCCTCTATACGTCGTCACCGGTGGCCGCCGCTGATCTCTAGGCCTCTTAGAGGGAAGTGCACGGCGGCTACCTTCATCTTCTGCCATTGATAGATTGGGACGGAACAAAAGCCAAAAGGAGAAGAGATCGAAATGGACAAAAAGGAAAATTACCGTTACGTTGAAGAAAGAGCAACAACGAGAGGCTTCTTATAGAAGGCCGGGGAAGGACCTTCATCAACACGCAACACTTTTTTTTTTTTTTTTTTTTTTTTTCACCTTTCAATAAAGAAAACTAATATGTAATTTTCAAACATCTTTCCTAATATTTCTCCAAATCATTATTCCAAAAGGTTGAACCCCAACCCTAAGGCCCCCCACACCCTGGCCCGACAGAGCATTTTGGGAGGATGTAAATCATGGTGACTCAACTGAACATGAACCATAGAGGCTAGACCGGTGCTCACTGCACACAAGGAGCCCCCTCACTTTGAGAGGTTGCTCCCACACTGTCGCTGGTGAGACTCGATCCCTGGTCATTTATTTCTTCAAATCATTACGCTTGGCAAGGTGGACACGGTTCTATGTTCAGAATTACTGAACAATATGTACATAATTATAAAAGTATGTATTCATAATTTTTTTAACTTCATATTCATAATTACTGAACTCTATATTCACAATTACAAAACTCTATGTTTATAATTACTGAACTATATGTTCATAATTATAAAACTATATATTCATAATTTTTGAACTTCATATTCACAATTATTGAATCTCTATATTCATAATTACAAAATTATATGTTCATAATTATGTTCACAACTCTATGTTCATAATTATAGAACTATATATTCATAATTTTTGAACTATATATTCATAATTATAAATAGTTTTGAAACCGTGTCCATCTTGCAAGGTGGACACAATTCCACAGCATAATTTTCTACTATTGTAAACTATTTTAATTGAACGATAATATTACATGTTACTAAGTTATATTTCTTAAATGGTTAAATGACAATTGAAAAGAATTAAGAAAGGACAAACAAATAAAAGTCAGTTTTGGTCGCATTTTTTCAGAGAGGCGACCAGTTTTGGTCGCCTTCTCCGGGAAGGTGAAAGAAATTGGTCACCTTTCTCCAGAGAGGTAACCAGAAATGATCGCGGGAGAATGCGGCGATTGATTTTTTATTTTTTATTTTTTTTTGGAATAAGGGTTAAATAGGCCATTGAACTGCACACCAAGTTGCAATTTGGTCATCGAATTCAAAAAAAGTGTAATTGCATCTCTGAACTACACAAATTCCTGCAATTAGGTCTAAAATGACCTGTTTACCTAATACTTTGCTGACGTGGAGGTTGTGGATTTTAAAAATAATTTTAAACAAAAAATTAATTAAAAAAAATCCAGAACGACCGGAGACGAAGACCACATGGCTGGAGACGATTTCGTCTCCGGTCGTTCTATTTTTTTTTAATTAATTTTTTTGTTTAAAATTATTTTAAAATTTATTTTTAAAATTCGCAACCTACATGGCAAGTAAACATGTCATTTTAGACTTAATTGCATAAATTTGTGTAGTTCAGGGACCTAATTGCATCTTTTTTAAATTTGATGGCCTAATTGTAGTTTGATGTGCAGTTCAATGGTCTATTTGACCCTTATTCATTTTTTTAAAATAAAAAATGGCACTCGAACCCTCGTGACATGTTATCACAAGTCACTAATCGATTTTTTGGACTTCATTGCACTAAAATAAAATGTTAATGAGTTTAATTGTAACTTTAAAAAGTTTAGGCACCTAATTGACTTTTCAGGTAAAGTTCGAGAGATTATTTGACCATTTTCTCTAATAATAATAATAATAATAATAATAATAATAATAATAATAATAATTTTGTTCTTACACTTAATTTAAAATTATTTATTATTTATTTCCCAGTTTGGATCCAAAACCACATAGTTCCGAACAAGAATCGGTTGTTTCAGTTTCTATATTTAGAAACTGGAACTAAAACCTTATATGCGATTTTGATTTCAATTCAGCTTCTATAGTATTCCGCTCAATTCGAAATAAGCCATAATTATCTCTCTAGATAATAATATTAAATGCCACATGCAAATTAAAAATACATACATATGTATTTATAGAGGATTTATGGAGTTTAAACCGTATAAATGAAGTATGTGGTAGCAAATATAATTGTGCTTGTGATGAATTTGAAAGAAACTAAGTAATTACATTTATTAAAAAAGGTAGAAGGCGATGGATCCAAATTAGAAACTCCGGTGGCAGGGGGTCCCATCTCGTGATCATTATTACTGCACTGCGTATAGTTTAATGTATAAAACCAGACTGAAATTATGAAACAACCGCTATTCTCTTCTCATTAATAAACATACCGCAATCTAACATCTTTGCGTTTAGCTTTTTTTTTTTTTTTTTTTTTTTTTTTTTTAGTAGATGGGAGAAATCTATCATCATTATTCTAGGATTTACACGGATTAAAAATCATGCTTTTTTATTCTAGCCAATAAAAATTCATAAGGAGACAAACAAATCTAAGATACCTATAAGTGTTTTCAATTTATGTTTTAAATACAATCATATTCTTCTCCCAAAAGGTTGAATCCTCAACCTTAACGCCCCCCACACCTCGGTCCGACAGAGCATTTAGGATCGAAGAATGTAAATTATGATGACTCAATAACTCAGTAGATATGACCAAATACCGGTACGCACAGAGGATTTGTCCACCTTGAAATACAATCATATTCTAAAACATCTCCTAATTTTGTATCAATATTCCAATTAAAAATTTATTATACTTGTAATTACACTCAACAAATGATAAGTAGTTTGTGTATCATTAGGAAAATAGGAAGTAACACTCTTGCCACATATCTGGTTTTATTGGAAGAAGTGAATATAAAGTGCAACTCGCATTTTTTTTTCTAAACCAATAAAAACATGCCACATTAACAAGGATTTAAAAAAAATAAAGTGAAAATAAATGTAATATTACTCACTTCATCGTTTGCCAATCACTATTGTGTGGACTATACTATCAACAATGTACATTCAGTACACAAATAATGTAGGAAGCTAAAACGACACTTTAATCATATGTCTATTCGGTTTATTTCTAGATCGGTGAATAAGGCTGCACTTGTGTTAGCAAAGACAGCCCGTTCTCAAACTAGTCACTTTGATTGGCCTTTTACTATTTCAAATTGTATTGAACATTTATTTTAATGAAATTATGGTATTAGTTTTCAAAAAAAAAAATTAATATATATTTTTTTATGGTCTACACATCACTATGTAAACCATAATTCACATAATAATTTGCCATAGTTTGCAGCGGTGGCAGAATGCGTATAAAAAATTGAAATATATCTTGGCCCAAAATGTATTTGAAATAATAAAGGGCCTAATATGTCTAGCAAAGCCCAATTAGTTATGGGAAGCCCAAAGTCAATACGCTTTCATCCAACATGATTTTGGCCCAAAAAGTATTAGTATGGAGTAAGTGAATACAAGTTTTGTGTAATTGGAAAATTATGCTGTGGCAAGGTGGACATGTTCTCATAATTATGAATATAGATTTCACAAATTATGAACATAGAGTTCTGTAATTGTAAATATAGAGTTCAATAATTGTAAATATGAAATTCAAAAATTATGAACATAGAGTTTTATAATTATCAACATAGAGTTCAGTAATTATGAATATAGAACCGTGTCCACATAGAGTTTGGAAAGTTTGGGAACAATGATCCGGGATTGAGTCTCATCAGCGGCAGTGTGGGAGCAACTTCTCAAAGTGAGAGGGCTCCTTGTACGTAGTAAGCAAAGATCTAGAGTCTGTGTTTAGCTAAGTTAGAATGATTTACATGATTTCTATTGGGCCGGAGCGTGAGGAACCCTTGAGATTGGAGATTCAACTTTTTGGGAACAAATTTAACTATTCATAAAGCAGACTTAGCACAATGTATAATTCATTTTTAGGGTCCGTTTGAAAAACAGGAAAATGATTTTTGGAAAATGAGTCATTTTTCAAAAAACATTTTTCTTTCCGGTGTTTGGCTACACAACAGAAAACTGTTTTTGTATGTTTGGTTCATTTTCTAGAAAATGAATAGGAAAATGACCAGCATTGTATGCTTCAATTTTTTTTTTCTTCCATTATTTTTTACTTTTTATATTATTTGATAAGTTCATTTTCTAAATTTTATGCTCTATTGTGTTCTTCTTCCTTAAAATGTTATGCTTTGCTGTGTTCTTCTTCCCTGTCTTGCAATTCAGAAAAATAGAGTAATTCAATCAAAACAAATAAGCATATGAACCCAAAACAACCACATCTATTTCTACACAAATCAGAGGAATTGATTTCACAAATAAAAAAAAATACTGAGAGATAATATATATATATATATATATATATATATATATATATATATATATATATAACATCTTCCCATGCCTAGTTCATCACTGGTTTCTGTTCTCACTCGTTTCCGATGCGGAAACCTCGGAAACCAAAGCCTTTGGTTCCAAGGCGGAAATCAGTGGTGAAAAAATCTCTGGTGGAGCTTTTCTGGTGATGGATTTGTTGGTGGAGCTTGTTCTCATGTTGATGGAGGCTAAACATTGCAGAGTTGCAAATTGAGGCATTGAGATGGCAGGTGGTGCGTCTAAATGAAGATGGACTTTGAGTTATTTTTCTTTGACTTCTTTTTTCCTTACTTAGTCAAACACTAAAAATCTAAAATATAATTTTCAAAAATCATTTTTCAGGTTTCCAAACACACCCTTAGTTGTCAAAATTAAATTAAAGTAGAGATCCGGGCATGGACATCTATTTCAAAGGTCAATATATAGCAATAAATAATACCCATTATTATGGTGGCTTGCTAACACCATTATGGTGTTAGTGCTGAAAAAATATAAGTCAATGTTACACCACGGGGCTGAGTTACTGCGGTTGGATTCAGTTGATGGAAATGATTATTGATTAGGTTGTGCACTTGGATGATGATGATGATAATGATGATTTCATGATTTTGAAACCTCATCTCTCCATATTTAGTAATTATGTGAACTATGACTAACATCGAGTATAAAAATATGACCATTGTGCAGGCAAGTATGAATTGTCATCTATTTTCTACACATGTT